AAATAAAGGGCTAGAATAAAAAGTACTGACCTAATATTAAATAAAGGCTGAAGTAAAATCTGAAAATCCACAAAGATGATGTTTTTTAATACAATCAGTTCTAGATTGCTTCAATTTGTTCACTATAGTGTATACAAACATAGTAATAATCTGCCTTGAGGACATTCTCACATTCAATCTTCATTTCTGGTGGCTTCAGGGTTTTTTTTGTTTGTTTGTTTTTTGATACCGGGGATGAACTTGGGTCCTTGGGCTTGCGCAGCAGGCGGCGAAACCACTGAGCCAAATCCCCAGCCCCCTTTTTTTTTTTCTTTCAGGTTTTTGCTTAAATATCCACCTGTTTTGTTTTTTTTTGACAATCTAATATAAATAAGATATTTTTGTTAAGTACTTAATCTAAATAAAGTCCCTCAGCCAGGGGTGGTGGCCCATGCCTGTAATCCTAGCACTTGGGAGGCTGAGGTAGAAGGATCCAGTGTTCAAGGCCAGCCTGGCCTACATAGAGAGAGTGTCAAAAACCAAAATAAATAAAGTCCCTTGTTATCTTCTATTACGTATCCTATTAATTTCCTTCATACCATACTTGCAGATTATAATTAGGTAATCACGTATTGAAATGCTTGTTTACTGCCTGTTTTCTTTAATATGTAAACTATTAACTCTATGAAGGTAGGTATGTGTCTGTTTTGAAGATGAAGGTAACTCAATTTCTTGCTAAGCTTTTACTGTAATGAAATCCAGGGAATTACTTCTTAGAGTTTAAAAATGGAGCTGAAACACTATATACTTAAGATCTGCAGACAAGATACAGGCTCTAAAGATTACAAGAGTGATTGGTGATGTATGCCACGGATATATAGAGGGACCGAAGAAAGAATGTGAACGGTTAATTCCAGATGTTACTAAATTTATACCTTTCTTCTACCCTGAGTAACATCTTCTGGTCTCATATTTGTTTTAAGCTATGCCTTTGTAAGTTTCTTTAGTAATTAATACAAATACATTAAAAACATGGGATGATGTTGAACTCAGAAGGGTGAACCATTAGGTACTACAAAAAGAACTAGTAGAAATCTGAGCAAAATATCCAAATTGTTCAGCAAGCTCAGCTGAGCCCTTTGTCCTACTGATGTAGGTGTGTATGGACATTAGTCCAAACAACAGACCTAGCTGGCTTCAAAGCCAAGAAGCCAGGCTGCCAGCTGGGCAGTGCCAACTTCAGGATACCCATGAAGGAGGCAAAGCTGAGTCCAGTTTTCATGTTGCAATCACTGCTTCAACTGCAATTTGGCAAACTCAAATGTTACATAAAAATTCACACATTGACGATAAAGTTTAAAAAGGAAGAAAAACACGTACAATGGCTCCTTTCCCCAAGCCCCTAAATATTAGGCATCTCTTATGTGCTTCTTTTTTTTCAGCGGAATTCCAAAGTTAGATACAGCTTTGTTTGTTACATGTTGAACACTCAGGAAGAAGAAGCATATTCTAAATTTCAGGGATACAATATAATCTACTTAAAACGCCAAGTGTATAACATTGTATTGGGAGAGTAATAGCTATCAAATTACTTAAAATTTCACTATCTATTAAAGACTTCAAAATCTATTATGACCTTTCAAATATGTGAAATTAAATAGATGATATGACCATGGGAAGGTATGGCCTGTAAACCAGTAAGACCTAGGTTTGGTTTCTAGTATTGCTACTTACTAAATGTGACTTTGGGCAAAACCTCTGAGTTTCAATTTTCACAGATATAAAATGATAACATTACTTATTTCATAGAGCTATCTGGAAATTAAACGAGATAATAAACTCAAGAAATGGAGCTTCCTCCTACTACTACTCTGACCTCTAGAATCAATGCTGTTCAATAGAACTTTCTGGGAAGACACAAATATACCACTCTATAATGGGCTCTATCTAAGGTGGCAGCCATGTGGCTGAGCACTTGATATGTGGCTTGTCTCATCAAAGAACTCCATTTTTAATTATATTAACTTTAATTTAATTAGCCATTTGTGACTATCATATGGACAGCTCAACACAAAGCCATGAAAGTTATGTTTCTTTGAAGTTTTACATCCCTAGGGGAGCCAAGGGAGGGTTTGAAGAAAAACAGTAGATTCTTTTTACTAGTGTATCTCAGAATGCAGTTTACTAAATACTGCAGATAAGCTTTGTGGTCAAACATATCTAGGCCATTTATCAGTCTACTGTGCTACCCAAGCTAATTTACCTCAGATTCCTCATTTATAGGGGAGGAATACTTAACACCTTCACTAAGAAATTGTGAAGATAATAAATTACTTGATCTGATATAGTATGTGCTTAACTAATCTTGTTTCCTTTTCCCCACCTTCATTGTTTCTGACATGACCACACTTTCTTCACATGCTGGCCAACGGCTTGACTTGTTACTAAATTTAATACTGACAAATGTAGTTCAACAGTTGGCACTAACTACATTTGTCAATATTAAATTTAAATTTAATTTTTAAGAAGACTAACTTTAAAGATACACAACTAAAAGAAAATATGTTGAACATTCTGGAAATCTCCCCAATCTTTAATCCTAGCTATTATTGCAAAAATGGGAACAGATATTGGCTAAGCACAGAAACTAGGTTTTCCAGCTCTCTTAGCTCATTCTTTCATGTTATTAAGATTCTCAGATAGGGATTAGTAATTCTGAGTTATTCTGCTATAAAATTATTTAATTTACTTGACAAAAATGAAAATCAAAACTTAATTTACATATTTTTGTACCCAGAAACTTGGCTTTGGGACTTTTGGGAATTGCTATGTTTTCTATTAATGTGAAATACCAACAAGCCCTTAATATGACCTGGCTGTCTTTAAATTTTGTCTCAATAATAAAACATACCAAATATCACTATTAAGTTGTTGGTCAATATCTAGAATAACTGAGTAACGCTTTTAGGCTATTCATGAGAGTGAGGGAACGGGTGGGGTGGGAAGCTAATCTAGAGTGAACTCCATTATCATCTGGGGGTTCCCTCAATGCTCAGGACACACAACAGTAATCTACATTATACCTATTAGTCTTAATTTGTGACAGAACACTTATCACTGGAGAAAGCTAAGCTGTGTCCACAACTCTTTCCTAGCTATTTTCAGCGAGTGCACCAAGGCATAATGTATGAGGACTAATACAATTCTTTAATACTTTGCTTCACTGTCAGTTTAAATGGGGGGGGGGTTGATCTTTTAGCCAAGTAAGTTCTGTATTAAAAACTTAAATTGGTACATAATTTCTGATCACTGAACACAAATACCAACAGGGAAAATGTTTAACTAGGTACAAAATACTGTGTAAATCCTTGATTTAAAAAACTTTATTTGGCCTATTTAAATACTTTACTTTGGCCTTAGCCTCTTGTTCCACAGGCTCTTAAGTAAATAACAAAAAACATTAACCATTTCATCAGATATAATAAGGGAGACATCTGGTGTTTGTATCATATAACCAAGGGCAAATACCTTAATAAGTTATCTATAACTTGCTTCTATCGACTGTCTGTCCATACACACACACGCAGAAACAGAAACTAAGAAAAAAATGGATCAACTCCAAAAATCTCCAATGTCTTATCTCTATTTCAATCAACAAACCAAAGTACTTCTAAGATATCAACCAACCACCATACACCAAAATCAGAAGAAGTATGTATTTCCAGGTGTCAATTAATCTGATGCACTAATAGATTAAACCAAGAAGGAAACCAGTGTGTTTCCAGACTATCAACGCCCTTGAGTTGGATGTACTCTTCCAATAAAAGGTCAATTTAGGTGTCTAAGCTTATTACTTATTCTCATTGTAGTTTTTTTTCTTTTTTTTGGTACCAGGGATCGAACTCAGGACCTTGCACTTGCCAGGCAGGCAGTGGAACCACTGAGCTAAATTCCCGGCCCTAGATATTTTTAAAAGTTTAATATTTACACTGCATAACCAGAAACCACAATTGTGTTCAATTTTATGGGATACCAACAGGTTCCATCAGTCTGAAGTTCATTTGCATAATCAAAACTGTATGTTACAACCACACTTGTAAAAGAAGGGCTGGTAACCCAACTATCCTACCTACATAGTCGTTTGAAAGCAAAGTTCTAAAAATCTTCAACTTGCAGAACTGGTGCACACGGAGGTCTGAATTTATAGCTTTTCTAAATTTTTCTCCTCAGTTCTGCTAGGTGAACATATAATAAATGAACCACTACCTTTGTGTATCTGAATACCTGTCTTCCAATTGGGTAAAAAAAGAAAAAGAAAAAAAGCAAACCAGACAGACACGACTGCTGGGTACATAAGCTCCACCTCCAACACCCTGGAACACTCTTGCCAGTCTTTAATAAGATCTGCATTCTGATCTGTCTTCATCCCACATACAGTGTTAATCTTGGAAAGCATCTCCGAATCAAAACTGGTTTAAAAAGAGTCCGGAGGTGTTGCTTATATGCCAGCACTCCAGAGTGGAGGGGTGGGACCTGGAACTGAACGTGGCCTTAGGGGTAGTAGTAGTGAGAAGAAAAAGGGGAGATTAGCGACAGAGAAGAGTAAAGAAATGAAGGATGAGCATTTCAAGGCCTAAAACTTCAGGTATTTACTTTAAATCTCCCTCCTGCCCCTACCCATCCCAGCAATCAGAAAACTCAGGAAAGGCTGAGGGCCAGCATGACTCGCGACAACTCTAAAAATTCTGAAAATTTCAGCTCAAGAAAAAGCTGCAAGGAGGAACGAGACGGGTGTAAGCTCCTTGCTGGAAGCGTCCCAGGGACCCTGACTTCTGGAGGCCAAGCCGGGGACGCCCTCGGTGGAGGTGCGTGGGGGGCGGGCAGTCCCAGGCGCTGCAGCCGGGGCGCGGGGTCCGAACCACAAGAGAACTGGGCCAAGCCACCCGGAACCCAGGGCCTCCCCGCTAGGAAGGTCGTGTCTGGGACGCAGGGTCCTCCCCACGCCACCAACTCCTCCTCACCGGGGCCGTAGAACTTGCTGCCTTTGGTCACGTCGAAGACTTTCCCATTGACCGCGAGCAGGATGCGCGGGGTGCGGGACCCGTCGTACTGGCGCAGCTGTTCCAAGCTGAAGTCCCGCTTCTTCATGCGCGGCAGGGACGCCGCGGGGCTCTCCTCGCCCGCCCCCGCCCCCGCGCCCAGACCCCGCCGCCCCCAGAGCACCCAGAGCCGGTAGGCCCCCAGCAGCACCAGCGCCACCAGCGCCACGTTCAGCAGCATCTCCCCGCCCCCTGTCAGAAGCGCCAGCGCCGCCGCCGCCCAGCCGCCCCCTTCCGCTGCCGCTCCCGCGCCGCCTGGGCTCCCGCTGCTGCCGTCGCTGCCGCTCTCGCTGCCACTCCCCAGGGTGCCTAGCTTCACGTCCCCATCACCCGCCGCCATCACTGCCCGCCAGCGCCTTCCTCCTGCTCCCCGCCCCCTGCCCTCCCCAACCCCACGGATGGCCCCGCCCACCCGAAGCCTCCCAGCCAATAGCTTGAGGGGCGGGGGTGGGGTCAGGACTGCTCCTGATTGGGTGTTAACGGGGTAACGCTGTCTCGGCTCTAGTCCTCCCTTCCCTTCTTGTGCAGGCAGCGCTCGCGTGCGCCTCCCGCCCACTTCGCCCCACACGTCCCGGCTCTCTTTCCAGGCCTCCGCTTGGTGAGGTAGACTAGGAGGGCGGGACTGAAGAAAAGATGCTGCGCCTGTCCCCCTTTCCCGCGCGCGCGCGCGCAAACACGAGGGCGGGACGAGACCACAGCGCGTGCGCAGGTTCCGGAGCGCCACGCGCTCGCTTTTCCTGGGCAACACCTCTGGGAGCCCCCGCGGAGCCCGGTCTCCCGCTGTGCGCGTGCGCCCCGAAAGGGTTTCCTTTCCCAGGACTGGGTTCTCGTCGGCGAACTCCCGCCTCTGCTCTCGCTTCGCCTGGGGGCTTCACGTGCGTGGAGGCGGCCACGGGGGCAGGCCCGGGCGGGGTTGCGTGTTGGTGGCTTGTGACAGGCCGGGACACAGTTTCACTGCGAGGTACAAACTGATGAAGGCGTCTCTGTCTTTCCCCAGGGCGCCGTCGGGCTGGTCGGGATGCCAGGAGCGTGGGCGTCCGACGAGGCAGCGCCCAAAGTTCTGGAGAGAGATGAAGGCTTTCTGGCGCGGAGTGCACAGAGCCCGTTCTGGGGTTCTCGGGTCTCAGCTGTCAGTGCTGCCTGCTCTGGCAACGGGCAGCCACTCGAGTGTTTTTGGCCAGGGCTGAGTTTGCAGAATTTTCTTAGAGGGTTTAGACTAGAGATCTCATTGCTTGTATCAGTATCTCTACGGCGGTAGGGAAGCGGAAAGGATGAGGTGGCCCTTCTGTAAGCTAGTTCAGCTTTATTTACAGCAGTTTCATGTCCTGGGAAGTAAAATTCCCACGCATGTGACACCTCAGCCGCATTCTGGGCTAGCCTGCTTCATGGACTCATGTCTTTGACATGCTTTCTCCTGCCCTATCTGCTGTCTTCCTGCTCTGAGCCTTCCTCCCGGTCTAAAAACTGAAGGCGGCCCAGGGGAGTGACCCTGTAGTTTTGTTTGAGGAACCAATAGGATGGGTATCTGAGAGGCGCAGAGCAGCCTGGGCAGCTTATGGTTTGAGCTGGAGAGTGGGAAACAAAAAGCAGCCTGTTTCGCCTGAAGAGGAATGAAGTCTAGAAAACTAGGTTATAGTCTTTAATATCGAGGAATAGGAGCATACTGTTGGGCTTGGAGGATCCACAGAACATCTTGATGGGGCACGTGATGAGATCAAAACTTTTCCTAAAGAGATTATTTAGCACCTGGGTGTATTAAGGCTTGAAGGACAAGAACGGGAACTGTGTGTATGAAGTAAGACTGAGAGCTAATGGTGGTGTTAGAGCAGGGGTTGGCAAACATTTTCAGCAAAGGCACAGATACCATTTTAGGTAACTGCCCTGAAATAAGAAGGCCATACATACTGTATTTCTCTGAAAATAAGACCAGGTCTTATATTAATTTTTGCTCCAAAACACACAATAGGGCTTATTTTCAGGGGATGTCTTTTTTTCATGTACCACCATCAACATTTCATGTACAACAGTCTACATGTATTTATTCATGTACAAAAATCTACATGTACAGAAATTTACACTTACTCAAATACTGTCATGTCATCTTGAAAGTCAGCATAACACTTCCCAAATTCTGGCCTGAATTTCTTGTGACTCCATTTCCTGTAAACCATTGGCCCTGATCTCTCATGTCCAGCAGTAGTGCTCTTCTTAAATGAGCACATCTTGTCCATGTACCCTCCTCTTAGTGCATTGGCATGACAGTGGTCAAGGCTTTTATCTCATGAATTCTTTGCCAAAATCATGCCCTCTTGCAGGCTAGTCTTCACAAAGTTTTCATTAAATCAAAGTTAATTGAAGGCTTAACAGACAAGAATGGCTATAAAAATGACAGTTAAGCATGATGGTCCACACAAAGGTGACAAAAAATTGCAAGCACCAAAATTGAGAAAATATTTCACGTGACTGCATTCAGTACATCCATTACAACACATAATATATTGAATTATAAAGATTCATATTAGACAAATCAGGTCTGTTATCCGATGCGCATATTATTTATGTATTGTGCCCCCTTACAATACCTGGCCACATCCCTCCCATTAGCTGCATTTGGTCCCCACTCTTGAGACTTTACTCATGCTGCTTTTGCACTGACAGTGGCTTTCTCTCATTTTTACAATTCAATTCTACTTCTTTCCCATTCCTTTTGTATTTCTATCTCCACCTGAAGTATGTGACTACATTGGCCCATACTGATTGATTTCTTTGAATTTTTAAAGATTCCTTGCATGTGCCACTCATTTTGGCCTTTTATGCTCTTCTTAACTATTCCATTATTGAAACTCTCATTTGGATTCCAAAATTTCTTTTGCTTCTTATCAGTGCTCCTTTTCTGACTCCTTTGTCCTCCTTTTCCTTGTTGTATCCTGATCTTCCTGAGAGGTAAACCATAGCATCTGTCATGTTTGTTTATTTATTTATTTATTTATTTAGGTACTGGGAATAGAACTCAAGGCCTCCAGCTTGCCAGGCAGGTGCTGTGTTGCTGAGCTACATCCTGGCCCTGTCTTCTGCATTCTTTTCTCTTACACTTCCCCCTTTTTCCTTAACACTGCATATATTTGCTGACTTGTCATGTCTATGGAAGGTGAACCTCTCTAGCCCTGTCTTCTCCAGAAGGACCAGCCACTAACTTTCCATTTCTTTTCCCACCTGCACAGTAGACTTGGATTTCTCCACTTCTTTGGCCTCAAGTCTGGCCAATGAAATGTGATTGGAAGTTACTTACATCACTTCCAAATAAAAGCTTAAAGGTCTGTGCACATTAATCATAGACTTTTGCCACAGTAACGGAATATTTTTAGTTTCCTGTTGTCTCATAACCCTTCTAAATCTTTTTGGTTTTTTTTGGTTTTTTTGAGGCAGGGTCCTGCTGTGTAGCTCAGGCTGGCCTTGAACTCACTATGTAGCCTAGGTTGGCCTCAGACTCATGGAGATCCTTCTGCCTCGGCTTCCTGAATGCTGGGATTACAGGCATGCACCTCCACACCCAGAAACCCTTCTAAATCTTAATGGTTTAAAACAGTCACTTTTATTCTAATGGTTTTGTGAGTTTACTTGGCTCATGGACAGTTGGCTAAGTTAGCTTTAGAGTCTCTGATATAGTTAGTTCCAGCCTGTCTTGTCTGGAGCTAGAATAATTGAGAAGCTCAAAATACCTGAGCTTTTCTTCTTCCTCATGTTCCAGTGCCTCTCTTCACATAACTTCTCCAGCAGAGTAGTCTGACTTCTTGCATGCTGGCTCAGGACTCTCAAAAGTATAAAAGCAGAACCTTTCAGTCTTTGTAAGGCTGAGGCCTGGAAATGACCCACTGTATCAGTAAAAGTAGGGCCAGCTCAATTTTAAGGTGATGGAGAAATAAATTCTTGATGGAAGTTGGGGGAAGAATGACAGAGTTTGTGGCCATGTTTAACCACCACTCCAGCAACGGTTCCAGTGGTGGCTGCTTCCATCAGAGTGGCAGAGGAAGCACAAGTGGCAAAGAGCTCCAGGCTAACACAGTCACTAGGATAGTTGAGGTTGTTTGGTATCAACTTTTTGCACTAAAACAATGAGTGCTGGATATAAAACACAGCTATAAGAAAAAATATGAGGCATTGCCATATATAATATGCTATAAATATCAGTAGTTGCTTTGTTTGGCAGCATCCAGTTCTGACTCATTTATGTCTCCCAGCGAACTAGCTTAAGAATTTGCACCATGATAGTCAAGAAATACTTCTTAAATAAGAGAGTATGGTTTCTTGTAATTCCTCTTTATTTTAGGAGAAACACTTCTTTTCCACACCAGATATTTCTTGGTGGAATATGGAAGAAGTGTCACTAACAAAACTTGACACTCTGTTCCAAGGCTACCAGCTAGTTCCCTGATGTGTAAAGCCCACCTTCTTCCTCTCCTTTGTCTTGGCAGCCAGGAAAATGTGTTTTTTTCCTCTGCTCCCTCATACCACAAGTTTTGTAGTGCTTGCCCCTGCCAAGGGAGGCTTGGGTAAGCTTGCCAAAGTAGTCTCCTTGGTGGAAGGGAAGTTTCTGGTTTGGGGAGCTAAGTTCACTTTTAGAGAACGGCAAAAGCTGTTATTTGAACTTTAATTCACAAAGTTAAGAGAGTTCAGTGTTGGATATTAAAATTTTGCTTTGGAGCTAGAGAAATCAGAAGGCTCAAAGGTCAACATGAAATTGGCCCTGATTACTTTGGGCTGTGATTTAGAAGATCGAGTAATTTAGTCTCTGAGCTTAATTTCTCCCTGGAAAATTCATATTGAGAGAGGGTCAAAATCAATTTGGGGGGCTGGGGATTTAGCTCAGTGGTTCCGCTGCCTGCCTCACAAGCCAAGGACTCGAGTTCGATCCCTGGTACCAAAAAAAAAAAATCAATTTGGGGACATCTTTTTGGCTTAGTTACTAAAGTTTCTCCCTCCCCAGTTAGCTCATAAATGTAGAGATGAATATAACTTTTCACTAGGAGACAAAATAGGAGAATATGTTAGGGGACAGTTAGGTGCAAGGCTCACAAAAAAATGGAAGATGATTGTTGTTAAATGCTTTACAACAGAAAACTAAATCTTAACATAAATGGTAGAAATGAATAGTGAGGTGGGAAATGGTTAACGTAACAATGAGCAGATTTGGGTAAAGAATATGGATTTAATGTATTCAATAATTTTGGCAAAAATTAATGAAAAGTTTTCTACAAGTTTGAATAGTTGTTCAAGAACAACTCTGCTATATATTCCTCTCATAATATTAATCAATTTGTAAGGAAATTTGCAACATTTTCCTTTGTTTTCCCTTGAAATCATATGCAGTGTGCAGCTGAAAAATAGAATAGGATTTTGCATCAAGTGTGTTCTCATTACTCAGCAGATGTTCCTTGCAGCTGACTAGTATTTCCCAGAATGTTTTTTGCGAATCTTGCGTATTTGAATGCTGAGATAGATAATGTGAAGCCTGATACCTGACTGCAAGTTTGTTACCTGGGTGAAGTAGGGCTCCACCTCCTTCAGTATTTCTTTTCACTCTCAACCACATTCCTTTACATCAGCAGGAAATGGAAAAGAAAATGACATTAGGCAAACATTATTATAACTCCGGCCTCCCCTCTCCCAGTGTATTGGAGCTCAGAACACAGACCAAAATGCTGTTTTTGACACAATGTTTCCTCTCAACTGAAATATGTGTAAGATAAGAAAGGCTAGAAAATCCTCCTGAAGGTTTATTATGCCTTGATTAAATTGAATATTGATGTCCATATTTAGAATTTTTTTTTTTTTTGTATGATGCCTTAGAGGTGTTCTTGCATGTCAGAGCAATTTTCCACGGTAAGATCTGGATTGGGTGGGAGGAGGCCTATCTTTTATGTGTGGAGAAAGAATGATTTTTGAAGGGAGTTGGGAGAAATT